GAAGTGGTGCCTCGATGCGCACCCGGGATCCGAACCCGGGCCACCAGCATCGCAGCGCGCGCACTTAACCACCAAGCCACAGGGCCGGCCCTGATGTTATTTCTATTACAGAACTGGTTAACAAAAATAGTAATTTAAATGATGGCTAATTTTATCTGAAGTCTTATAAAGCCTTGTAGACAATCTAAATAATTATTGGGAATAAGTAACTAAATAGCTGTAAAAAAGATAAATGTTAGATGAACTTTACACAATAATTATGTGTTATGGTGGTTACAGCTTCCAAACTCTTTTTGGTGACTTAAAACTTTAGAGTTTTGCTAAAATTTATGAAAAAAATTCACTTGAGTAGATCATTTCCAAATAACATAAGATATTAGACATTGATTGCTAAATGTACGGTTGTCTACTTTTGGCTTCTCAAATAACCTGAAACTTCCTACAATTGCAGGACTTTTCCAACTGCTTCCTCCTGGCGAGCTGAAATCTCACTGGTCCTAAGTCAACCAGCTTCTACTAGACAGAACAAATTTAATATCTTTTCCACAAGACCACCCTTCAAGTGTTTAAAGTTGCCACATCTCCTGTTTCTTCTTAACAAATACACTGAGGTATTTTAATGAACTCTGATTGCAATTACGTTACCTAGTTCCAGGGCGTGGGGGAAAAGGGTGGGCACAACCCAACCAATTAAAGAAGGCTGAAGATAGGATGATAGGGAGGGGATTACCTTAATGCCATCTTCACCTGTTAACCCAGGGAAGCCCCTGTTGCCTTTGGCTCCCTAAAGAAAAGAGCAAAGAGCATGGGTCAGAAGACACACTAATCAATTTCTTCTGTAGGAAGCAGAACCGTTTGAACTCCTTTTTGAAAAAAAAAAAAAAAGAGAGAAGAATGTGCTCAGTTGACCTCTCTTCACATGACGGTGTAAAACTATGATTCTCAAATGTAATTTTAAAAAGCTATATGCTTTTGATTAGTTTATAACTGCTTAGTGACTCTCAAGAATCCTTCTTCGTCTAGTAGGATTGACATTTTCACAACATCAATGGGTCAAATCATGTCTTTACCTCGGTGCCAGGGAACCCAGGAGCACCATCTTTTCCAGGTTTCCCCTAAAACAAAAACATGTAATTAAATATATGTGGATAACCTTAATAAACATGGAAAACTTGAAAAATAGGATAATCTACTCTTGGCCAGGGGCAAGAAATTCTGAATGAGGTTCCCCACTCAGTTGTTAGAAGGAAAAAATATTAATCACAGAACATAGGACGACCTTCTCTTGCCAGGGAAGGCAGAAGCCAGTCAGAATCGGAAATCAGGGAGGGTCAAAGGAAGAAAGAGAGAAAATTAAGAGCTAAGCTTAAACTAGAGTTGATGCTTTCCATTCAAGTTTGGAAGGAAAATCAAGGAAGCACTAAGCAGAGAAGTGAACAAGGAAACCTAGAAAGAGAAAAGTGTTCACAGTCAGTTTATTTATTTGAAATGTTGGTAATTCCCTGAACTACAGATGTCCCTATATTTAAATATATGCATAAAGGTATATTGCATATCCAAACAGACATGGCTTTTGGATGAACTATTCTGGTATTTACCCTTGATGATAGCATCAAAAATCATATTGGTTGAATTTTTTTTCTTAGAAAAAAATATACTTTTCTGGTGTATAATTTTTAGAGTTTTAAAACAATACATGTGTTTAAATCTTTCCAAGATAGAGCTGGGTGGGAGAGTGGGCCCCTGTTGCTTCTGTCTTCCCAGCATCCCACTTCTCGTCACAGTGTGCCCTGTGTCCTTTGGGGAGCTGCCCTTCCCTCCCTTTGTGTGGTTCTGATGGGGCTGCAGTCACAGAAGCTCCCGTCCCACTGGCCTGGCCAATCATGGTACCTTTTCCTCCTGGCCACGGTTCAGGGTGAGACCTAGATGGGCCAATCAGAGCAAGTCTTTGGGATTTTATATGGACACAGGGAGAAACGCTCTCTCCTCAAATGCCGTTAACCTGAATGCATTCGGATGCAGTCTGCTGCTACATCCCAGGCTTTCTCCCCATCATTCGTCAAAGGAGAGAAGGAGGCTGATTGACACACAGAGAGAAGCAGAAGCGAAATGGAGAGAGAGTCCTGCCCATATTGTTTCAGGCTCTGAAGTCCTTGAAGCCTATTTTAGCCTTAAATTTCTCAGATGATTGAACAAATAGGTTCCACTCTCTAAATCTTTAAAATGTTTTTAAAAATCTAAGCTAGTTTGAGTTGAGCGTTTTATCCTTTCAACCTAGAGTCCTGAGTAGTGACCAATATGGCTGCACATGACACTGAATTTCCAAACTTACCTGTGGACCAGGTTCTCCAGGAGCACCCTTTTCAGAGCGATAAGATTCTCCAGGCAGTCCCTGTATTAATTAATCAGACTTAGGTCAAGTTTTATGAATTATTGATTTTTTTTGCTTACATTGATTTTTATTAATTTTCCCCTTCTGATTATTCTACTATATTTAAAAATGTTCAAATGATGGGTCATCTAAGAGGGAAAGCTTATTTATGAGTCTTAATTAAAAAATAGATTCTAAAAAACCAGAGGCTGAAGATAAATCATAAGATGGGTGACGTTGGGTGCATGCAAAACAGTACAAGGATTTCAGTTAGAAGTGGCCATCCAATAATCCTAGTATATTCATGACCTCTGTAGTAAAATATTGTGCTTTAACTAATATTAAGCTTTAAACATAGATTATACATCAAAATATGCACGAAGGTTCTACTTGATGTTTCAAGGGAATGATATGACTCTAAATGACCTACTGAGGGTCCAGGAGGTCCAGATGTGCCCATGGCTCCCCTGTCCCCCTTCTCGCCCTTGAGGTCCTGCCACAAAAACAAGTTAAGGTCATTACAAACAGATCAAACCAGACTTGACTGATTATAGTTGGAAAGTTCCTCTATCTGTTCAATAAACTGGATTCACAAACTCCTTATGGACCTCACTTAACACAACACGGTAAACCTTATCGTTTTTCATATTTATTTATTTAAATGGGCTTTTAAACTTTTTTTTTATAATTTTTTTTTTTATTTTTCTTTTCCCCCAAAGCCCCAGTAGATAGTTGTATGTCATAGCTGCACATCCTTCTAGTTGCTGTATGTGGGACGCGGCCTCAGCATGGCCGGAGAAGCGGTGCGTTGGTGCGCGCCCGGGATCCGAACCCCGGCCGCCAGCAGCGGAGTGCTGGCGCTTAACCGCTAAGCCACGGGGCCAGCCCACGGTTTTTCATATTTCAAATTTTATACTTGTGAACCCACTGAAACTATACACAAACTTTTTTTAAAGTATCTTTTGGAGCAAACTACATTAAATGAATTTGATTCCTGAAGCAGTTTTCTATAAGCACAATCAGATCATTTCTTATGCATTTTACTTTCATTTTTAGTATACTGAAGTTATTTTCATTAGGATCCATTATTTTCTGAGTAAATATTACAATGAGGATTTGATTCATTAATCAGGTTTGTTTTTACCCTTACCACATTTTGTTGATTATATTTTTTGCAAGGTGAGTGTTCTCTTGAGGGCATCATTTTCTTCTAACTCAACTGTTTTTCCCCTGAGTCAAATTATCCAGATGTAGATTTTGTGATGATAAGATTTTTTTTCTCTCAATTTTCAGCCAATAAAGTTTTAGGCTTTATTAATTTTATTTTTGTTGATTTCCCCTGAAAAGTTCAATTTTTTCCCTCAGGTCAGTTTTTTTCCAATCTTCAATGTGAGTTATTATTTTGATATTTCAAATTTCGCTATGTTTTAACTCTTGTTAGTTTTGTTTTGATAATTTCCATCATTAAAAATTAATTATATTTGAGAGTGATGGCTAAGAGGAAACTATTATTAAAAACAATTATAAGTTTAAAAGAGAAGAATGGTTTATGTTTATTTCTTAATCCACAAGAAAATTGTTAGCTACCCTCCCCCCCCCCCCACTTCTCTATCCCCTCTCCCAGACATTCCAGGATCCATCTAGTGTTTAGGGTTGGTGTATTATATTGCAATTCACTTCTGAGCAAGCAATTCAGTTTCATATCCTGGTCCTCCTAGCTACTCCACTGTGGGAGCAAAAAGCAAATGTTAATGTAAAAATAACAGGGTCATAGTGTCCTTGGAGAGGAATGGGGGCCACATTGTCCTGGGGGTGACAATGAGAGGGTAAAAATGTCCCATTTGATTATCATACCCCCTTCACCACATCTTTAGAGCTTTACTATCCAATTGGATCAGAGCTGTACATGCATTTTATTATCATTTATTCAAAAATATTCACTGAATACTCACTCTGCATTAGGAACAATGAGAGAGAGGATGAGGATAAAGGGTGACCAAAATCAGACCTGGGCTCTACCTTCAAGAATCTTGGAAGTTGCTTGCCTCGGATCTTCCTCATCTCACGTTTTCTGGTTCTCAAGTAAAAGACGGGAAAGGAATAAAACCCAGAGATTCAGGATGGATGAGGGGGCTGGGCTGAGCTGGGCTTAGATGACAGAGTTTATAAAAGAGGTAAGGGATCAGAAGACTTCATCCCAAACGAGAAGGCACAACCCTAATCATAAAATTGAAGTTACCGTTCTGTTCTCCGGGCCGGTCAGTGTCACAATAACTGTTCCTGGTGGTCCAGGGGGTCCCGCTAATCCTTTCACACCCTAAAGACAAATACACTCAGAAATGAAAAACTAAACAACAGCAGCTTTACTATATCTGAGAAATCTACTTTTCCCCTTTAGTTCTTTTGTAAGAAGATCGAGCAAATGGAAGCTTGAGACACAGCAAGTGCATTCATTTCAGCGTGATTTAGCAAATAAAATGTACAGGCTGATTGGTATGGAACTGAAAATATCTTGTCCATAAATAAACCACAGTATTTAAATTACCCGCTCTCCTTTTTGTCCTATCACATTATCGCCCATGTGACCCTGTAAGAAAACACAAAACCAAACTATTTTTAAAAAATGAATATGAATAAATAATTTAAACTCATTATCATTAAAGTTCCAATATTTGTATAAGAACATTTATATTTAAATTTCAATATTAGAATTATAAAAGTTATTTTAGCTATTTTTTGGAGTGCAGTGGCAATATGTTTCTTTTAAAACTGGAGATCTAGGGGCCTGCCGGTGGCGTAGCAGTTAAGTGCGCTCCCCTTCGGTGGCCCGGGATTCACAGGTTCAGATCCCGGGGGCATACTGATGCACCGCTTGTAAAGCCATGCTGTGGCGATGTCCCATATAAAGTAGAGGAAGATGGGCATGGATGTTAGCCCAGGGCCAGTCTTCCTCAGCAAAAAGAGGAAGATTGGCAACAGGTGTTAGCTCAGGGCTGATCTTCCTCGCAAAAAAACAAACAAAAAAACCCAAAAAACTGGAGATCTTGAGGTGCAGAAAGCTTAAGGGATTTACTTAATATGGCAAGTGATGACATGAGGTGGCGTGAGGTGGAGAAAGGAACCCCGGCTCAGAAGATGTTTTTCTGGCTCAGCTACTAGCTAGTTTTGATTCTACTGGCTGGTTACTTAACTTCCTGATGCCCTAGTTTTCTTGTCTTAAAAATAAGAGGGAGGGACTGGACCCATGGCATAGTGGTTAAGTTCACATGCTCTGCTTTGGAGGCCAGGGGTTCGCAGGTTCGGATCCCGGGCTTGGAGCTACGCACTGCTCATCAAGCCATGTGGTGGCGGCATCCCACATACAAAATAGAGGAAGATGGGCACAGACGTTAGCTCAGGGACAATATTTCTCAACAAAAAGAGGAAGATTGGCAACAAGTGTTAGCTCAGGGCTAATCTTCCTCACCAAAAAAAAAAAAAAAAAGGCGGAATGGGTAGCTAAACTACAGTATTCCAAAATTCAAAACTTAGTAGAGAAGCTAAGAATAGAATTCAAGCTACCTGACTTCACTAGTAAGTTAGTGACACAAGATAAGTCTAATGTGACTAGTCTGTGGACTTCACTAACGATGGCCAGTCTACCATTTCAGCCAACGTCTCCTTGCTTTTTTGCTCTTGAGAGCAAATCTTCTCCCCGTTAGGCCAAAAGTTGTTGATAAAAGCTCAAGATGAAGAATCAAAAGACTTCAAACCTCAGCTCTGCCATTTACTGTCTATTTGACAATTCACCTAACTTGAATCTATCCATCTCATAGGGTGTGTGTGTGTGTGTGTGTGTGCGCGCGCGTGCACGCACGCCCGCATATCAATGAAATAATAAATGTGAAAGCTACACGCAAAGGCAACCTGATAGTAAGTAACAGATACTGTGTTTAGTACTAATTTCCTGGTGAGCTCAGACTGCTCAATATTTTCTTACTTAAACTAGTGAAGGGGATTAGAATACGCCACCCCAAAATACACCACTTTGGCATAAAGATTATTTTGAGCTGAAGACAACTGAGGAACAGCAAATACAGAAAATGTTTTCTACCCTCCCCGTTTCTGCCTAAAGGCAGGGCATAGATTTCCCTTTGTGAAGGTGTCACCCATCCCCTCTCCTGTACCAGGAAGAAGGACAACTCTTAATACTGGAAATGGCATGGACTTAAATCTGCATAAACAAACCTTCCTGAAATAACCCTTACATTCCATTAGTTTCCCCCATATATTTACCTTCCCACAATTTACCATGCCTAGAAGGTCAAAGCCCTGTTACTTTGTCTTGTCATTTCTCTGCAAATTTATCACCCTTTGTTAAAATGCTATACAAGCCTCTGGGTCTCACTGTCTCTTTGGGGTTCTCATTTCATTTCTATGAGGCTCTCCTCCCCATAGGCATATAAAATAAATCTTTTTCTCCTGTTAAACTATCTTTTGTCAGTTCAGTTTGCAGGGTCCAGTCACTGAAAATAAGAGGATAGATGAAAGATTTTTTTTTTCTCCCCAACACTAATTGGCCTTTTTAATAGAAAGACATGCAGGACCCTGCTTAATGAGTGCACGAATAATCATCTTTTATTTACCAGCATAAGATCAGCTTGGTTTTGGGAAGCAGCCCACTATAAAAATTTATAGGATAAAGTGCTGGGTGACCAGTAGGATTATCAGAAATGGGAAACCTATGGACTAGGAATCCTTGCCCTTTTCCTGATAAGGAATTCCTTATAATTGAAGTAAGACTCTTTGTATCAGAGATCAAGTTACTGAAGTGCAGGGAAAAGAGAGAGAAGAGATGCCTAGCTGCCAGTCATGCTCCCTTCCCTGTTGGGAATTCTTGTGGTTCCCGAGAGGTGCCTGGCAGTGCCCCATGAGGGGAATCAGACCAGGTTTGGCTTTTAGATTGGTTAGGGTGCTCTGGCTGATTCGATGATATGACATAAGAACTGTAATCTACCTTAGGTCCTGGAGGTCCCATGATTCCTGGAAAGCCCTAGGAAAATCCATAAGTTAAAATTACAGATGGAAATGCACCAATCTAGAACACTGTTTAAAGTTTTTAGCTATAATTAATTTATTAGTTTACAGTGTGAACAGCAATGGTGACTTAATACTCACAAAGAATCCTGGAGGGCCAGGTGGGCCAACAGGTCCGGGAAAACCTGGAAGGCCTGGCAAACCCTTTAAATTAAGAGAAGAATAACAGTAAGTTCAAGTTTACTTCACACTGAAGGACTATGTCCATTATTTAAATGCATTAAAATATTTTAACAAAATCAGAGCATAACATTTCCCATTTATGGCTGCAGTTAGTTACAATAAATACCATATGTCACAGGCTCCCAGGACCATCCTGATGGTACTATTTCCAGAAAAATGACCAGAGCAGTTGCTTTACTTTGGAAGAGTTTTAAATTTTGGGGGGTAATTTTGCTTCTCTCTCTTTCTTTTTTTTGTTCCAAAGCATGCTCCTACCTTAGAGCCTTCTGCCTGCTCTCCCTCTGCCTAGAATCCTCTTTCTCCAGATATCTGTATGATTCATTTCCTCTCTATTTTCTTATCTTTACTCAAAGATCACCCTTTCCATAAAGCCTTCCCCGCCCATCTGATCTAAAGCCGAAAGCCAGACACTTCCTATCCCCTACTCCTGCATTATTTTTCTCCTAAGCATTTATTACTAACAGACCATACACTTACTAATTTATATTTTTTATATTTTCTTCTACTAGAATGTAAGCTCCACAAGAGCATGAATTTTTTTAAAATTATTTTTTTAGCTGATTTGTACACTGTGGTATCCCCAGAGCCTAGAATAGCTCCTGGCACATAATTGGCAGATAAGAAATATTTCCTGTATAAATGAATGTCCCGCTGCTATATCTTCAGCAGTAGCACAATGTAGCCAGCAGTCAAGACACGTTGAAGGGAGACATCCAGGTCCCAGATTGCTACTATCTACTCTTACTGGATCCCCTGCCTTCAGCATCTGGCCCCTTAAATGTTTCCTGAGCAACAAACCAAAAGCCATTGTATTCTGTATCTCTTCTTGAAAGCCTATAATGGCTCTTATTGGCATCATTCCGCTGTTTTGCAGCTCATCACCAGATGGCATGGCTCGCCATAGAGGAGTGCAACAAGCTTAACTCTAACTCTGACTCACTCAGGCAAATACCAATCTCTACCCAGGAGTTTTTACAGTTTCTTACTTCTGAACTAAGTTAAAATATTCCTGGTTAATTAGCCTGAAAGTTAGTACTTACCAAAAGATCCTTTTGAATCACAAAGTAAAGCACACACAACTCCCCACACAGCTGTTTCTTTGTATCCACTCTGGATCACTCTCAGGCTACATACATATAGATTAGAAAGCAAACTATTCAATAGGGGAAAGATACATTTAGATAAAACCCTGTTATTTACTATCATGCAACTGACGGGGTTCAGGGCAGGCCGCCCCAAGATGTGCCACTCTGGTATGCGGATTATTTCCAGCTGAAGACAATAAAGGCTCAGAAGACTCTGAAAGAAACTTTGACATTCCCAGCAACTAACTGCCTAAAAGGATTTAAGGATAGAAGGCCTTGCCCCAGAACAGGCCATCACCATAGATAACTCTGGCTATAGATAGACTGGGAGGGTCCTTGCTAAGCCCATTCTTATCAAAGTTCTGTTTACCAAACATTTACATTTGTAAGGGAAATCTCCATTTGTAAAAGTATCTCCCTCTCTGTACCTGGAAGAAGGGGGGATGACCTCATCTCTAGAAACTTATCAGTGAGGAAGTGAAGGCCTTAAATCTGCATAATAATCTTACTTTTGTTTACTGTGCTTGTCTGGTAACCTCCCATAACTGACTCCCCCTACCCCCAACATCCTCCTTTGTCTTTAGCTGACGATAGTATTTAAGATAAGAACCTCCACCATTTTGTCAAGTTACCCAGTTTTTCCGGGTCTCTCCCACATATACATGCTATAAAGCTTTGTTTGATTTTCTCCTGCTATTCAATCTCACGTCAATTTAATTTGTAGCCCAGCCAGAAAGGACCCAGAATGGGTAGAGGATAGTCTTCCTCCCCTTCACAAATTTTACAATAGAGATGTTATTTAACATTATAGTCTTAAATCATATTCAATGTACGATACAAACTAATCCTGAATTTCAACAAATACAGAGTAAGTGGAACATAACTATTCCTTGAAGACTCCTCCTTAGATTTAGGAAAGCTTGGGTGATTGAGATTTAAGAAGAGATGAAAAGACATATGTACAAAATTATCTTTTTATATCAGCTTCACGTAATATCTTATAATAAGGTGAGCATCTTAGAATGAAATGAGGTAGATATGTAAATAGAAGAAATATGAATGTCTATTAAAAGTGTTCTTAAAAGAGTGAGAAAGATATAGGGGGAAGAGAGAAGAGAGAGACAGAGAGAGGAGAAAAAGGAAACACAGAGACCGAGACAGAAAGACAAAGAGAGAGAGAGAGAGAGAGAGAGGAGAAAAGGGGATAGTGGGGGGAGAGAGAGAGAGGTTGAGAATGATAGGGATCTTCTCTGAAGTGCGTCTACCTGGAATCCTGGAGCTCCTGGCAACCCGGGGTCACCTTTTCCATCAAGTTCTATACCTTCTCCTTCGGCAGGAGCACCCTTGAAAATGAAGAAGTTCGTCAAACATAATCAATGTTCTATTTTCAAAACCCTTTTAAATGCTTATTCAAGGTCACGCTGCTTCAAGGATAAAAGTGCTTTCCAGGATATATACTTAGAGAAATGATTTAGGATTATGTAGCTATTCTATTTTGAAGAATTCAGAGCATTTTCATATATCCTAAAATTGACAAGTTACTGTGGAAGGAAGAAAGACACAAGGATGATAAGTCAACTCCCAAGATAGTAAATTAGTGGCAATTCCTGATCTAGAATGTGGGGCCCTGAACATGAGGTCAGTTCTCTTCCCCTAGACTCTTTTTCCTTGTTTTCCTTAAGACATATTTATGACAAAAGCCAGAAGTTGTTGTTGAATATGAATAAGTATCATGTCCCAATTATTATGGTTTCTGAATTAATTATGAAACCTAATATGTAATTACTTATATCTCATTTAATAGATGTCCTTTTCATAGGTACAATTACAGATTTTCAATAATAACATGCCACAAATCACTTACCTTTTCTCCTTTCAAACCAACAGCACCCTAGGAAAAGAAGTGGCATATGAACAACTAGAGGTGATCAAATAAACGACATCCCTGCTTTGTCGTCTCTGCTATCCTGCCTCTCCCCGCCGTATACTTCCCACTGGCTTTTAGACATGTTCAAATTTCTCTCATTTAAACAAAGTCTCCCCTTAATCTCACCACCACCAGTACTGCCCTGTCTTTCCTTCACGTCATCTGCAAACTTCTTGTTTTGTTCCTATCCCATTCATTCCTCTGTCCCACGTCCGCTTCCTGCCTCTATCCATCATGGAAGGACCCCTTGCTAAGGTCTTGCAATGACTTTGACATTGCTAAAATCAATGACAAGGTATCAGTTCTTCCTGGACTTCTCAGCAGCATTAGGCAGCTGTCTGCCACTCCCCTTTACTGAAATATCTCTTTCCTGGGCGTCCAGAAAACACTCTTCCTGGTTTTCTTTCTATGACCAGGGCCACCCCTCCTTTACAGGCTTGTTCTCCTTGACCTAGACGTGACATAGTGCAGCTCTCTAAGTCTCAGTTCTAAGACCCTTTTCTTCTTACTCTCACTCCTTGAGTCACCACCATCCCGGGCCTCTCCTCTGAGCAAATCCAGCTCCCTACTGGAGCTTAGATGTCTTGAGACATCCACTTAGATGTCTCAAAAACAAAACAAAGCCTCAAAGTGCAAACCTGAACTCATAATGCATTCATTCATTCATTCATTCTCTAGCTATGAGTTGAATGTCTACTACTGGCCGCCCGAGACTTCCCCAATGTCATGATGGATTTCAGTAGATGGCCGTTCTGGAGGAAACTACTTCTATTTCTACTTTGTTATTGATGGAGAGTTAGAAATGCATACCTACCGGGGCCCCTGGGAAGCCTGGTATCCCCGGAAATCCTGGAAACCCTTGCTCACCCTGGAAGACACATAAAGCTCATCATTCTTTTCAGTTGTTCCAGAACAGCCTATTGAGAGATTTTCCTTGTTTCTCTCTTCCAGTCCTGCTGTGGTAAATCTAGGGAAAGTAACCCAAATTCCTTATGGCTACTGGGTCATGAGGCTGAAGGCCAGAAAACCATTATCTTAATTGAAAACAGGATTAGATTCTACTGTTTCTCAAATTGTGCATAAATGGCAAAAGTCTAATTGTGCCAAGAACTTTTTAATTGCTGTTTCTTTGAAACTTTAGTAATTAGTTCTTTCATGGCCACCATTCTGGGGAAAAGGAGAGCGCAGTTAGGAAAGAAAGGAGATGAATGAATATCGAAGGCTCAGTGATTCTCTTCCAAAGACTAATTTTGCATTCCAAGCATTAGTTGCTGATTTATATATACTCGCGACCTCTGATGAAAATAACCAGTTGATCCCCCAATTATCTTTCTGTGGGAGAACATGAGAGAACTTCCTTAAATGACAGTCAGAAAGCAAGGCATGAGAAGAAAGAAAACCATCATATATTTGCCCCGAAGACACATAGCATTGGTTCTAACTAGAAGAACGTCTCAAGGAAAGCCTATCCCATTTCATTGCTACTTCACCTTGATTTGTTCATTTAGCAAAACATTGACTAACCATCTCCTGCATGAGAGGTACATACCTTAGAACCGTTGCATCCTGGCACACCAGGAAGACCATAAGTTCCAGGATGGCCTGGGGTGCCCTGAAAATAGAGAGAGTCTCAAAAAGGAGACATAATCACCAGGCCCTGGGACCAGGTGAAACAGAGAGGAACCCAAGGTGGGGAAAAAGATGGGCTGGTTTAGATAGTTCTTAAATATAAGTGGATATTTGAATAGTTAAGTTATAAATAAAGTTATTTTAGATAATAAGTTAAATAAAAATTATAGCAAATAAAAATGGGCTAATTAAAACCAAAAATTATCAAGTGAGATACAGATATTTTAGATGAAACAAAAGACCTTTCTATAGAAAATGGAGTACTTTAACATGATGTTTTAAGCTGGGGGAAAGGAAAAGAAAAAGAAGAGGGAAATGTGCACAGAGGTAACTATTTTATTATTCTGTGCTATTAAACAGAGTTATTCTGTTCTGTTCTCTCCCATCCCATCCCATCCCATCCCATCCCATCCCATCCCACCCCATCCCAACCTATCCAATTCTGCTTACATTTCAGGAAATACAGTTTGACTTGTGTGTCCTACAAATCCACACTCTAATACATTAGGTGATTCTACTGTGCCATCTTCATCATGTAGCAAATACATCAGTTCCCATTTCCTTGTGCTATTCCTTTAACATCTTTACTAAGATGAGCTTGCTTTTAATTTTTCTAGTTATGCATTTTTTCCCATTACTTACTGGAAGTCCAGGAGGACCTGAGAATCCTGGTAATCCAGTCATTCCCTAAAGACATAGAAAAAGATGGCAAGAAAAATGTTTTAAAACTGTTCAACCTATAAACATAAACACTATTTACCATTCCAATAACCCCATCCTACGACTATAATTGGGAATGGCTAGAAACTATTTGAAAAACACAAAAAGGGTTGACAAACTTTTGTAAATCTTACATTTATATTACTTTGAAAAAGAGAAGATTAAGATTGTTTTTGGCTTTTTTTAGATTTTTAAGGTATAATTTATTATAGTAAAGTGGTCCAATCTTCCATGAACAACTTGGCCAATGTTTACATGTGTGCGTACATACATATTGGTATTACCACCACCCCATCCAGACACAGAACATCTCCACCACCCCAGGTGGTTCCCTCATGCCCCTTCGGAGCCAATTAATACCTAGTCCCAACATAGTAACCACTATTTTGACTTCTATGTTATAGATTAGTTTTACCTGTTCTTGAACTTTATCTACAAAAATGTACCATACACAACATATTCCTTTGCGACATTTGTATAACTTTTGCAGTGGAGAGTTATTCTTTTTAAAAGAAGAAGAATTTTCATCAAACAATCAGGATGGACCAGTTGGACTACTAACCCTTACACCTTTGGGACCAGTGAGTCCTGGCAGTCCTGGCAAACCCTAGATCCAAATGAAAAAACAAAAGGTAAACACTGTGAACATTATTTGGCATTAAGAAAGCCATAACGTAAAGGTCCCAGTTTTATTCACATGTCAAACTGTTTTGCTCTTATGATTATTTCATTGTTAACATGGTGCAATTGCTTGCTTGTTTCATTGGAGCTAAAACATTTATCAGAAAGGATTGTTAAAAAAAATAAATAAAAAAACAGCCAAAAATGGAGTCACTTGTGCTAAGCCCATGTCACCAAACCAAGTCTTAATACCTAACCCAATTGCAGTTTCGGCCACTGGCAGGAATGTGGTCTTAACCAGTCAGTATGGAATGTCCTGCTCAGCACCGGTGAGGTAATATGCCCAATAGACCCCTTTCATCTCCTAAAGGAAGGTGACCTTGTCTGAAACAATCCATTCTTGTCCCCCTTCTGCCTATAAAAGTCTTGTGTTTTGTACAGCTCCTCAGAGCTTCTTTCTGTTTGCTAGATGGGATATTGCTGGATTCATGAATCATTGAATAAAATGAATTAGATCTTTAAACTTACTCAGTTGAATTTTATTTTTTAACAGGATGAACAAAAATTCATTCAAACCTCTGCTACTCAGTGTAGGATGGAGGGGCCTGCAACATTAGCATCACCTGGGAACCTGTTAGAAATGCAGAATCTCAGGTCTCCCCCACCTCCCAGACCTATTGATTCAGGATCCACATTTCAACAAGATTAGATGATGATTCTTGTTCACATTCGTGTCTGAGCAATGCTGCTGTGAAAGCCCCACATTAGCCAGACAGCTGCTGAAGTCTGATAAGGATAAATGACACAATCTCAATGGTGGATGAGAATGGCAGCCAATATTTCTGTGCATCAGAAATACTTTGTTAACAAAATGGGCCTGGCATGCACAAATAAATAAATAGCAAAGTAAGGACAGCCTGAACCAGAGATAAACTTGCTTTGGGCACATAATGAATACAGTTTTGAGGACCTGTTTTTTGGAGAATAACCTTCAATGGAGATTATTTTAACTAGGCCACTTGGTATGAAAGTTCCATTGTCCAAAAGCTGTTCTCATCATTCCTTAGAGTTTCACTATGTTTTGGTATTTTTGACTTTTTGAGAAAAGGATTGTTACAGAGTCTTCTGAGATTAGACTGTCAAGGCCAAAGGCAGCCTTTCCTGACTGAGATAGAATTCCTGGGTGTGTGACTGATACCGGCTCAACACAAGGTTGACATAAGGGAAGCCATATTGTAGAAAAGAAACCATATTGTAACTTTGAATGACTTCTGACAAACTAACCCAGCTGGATCTGCACCCTCCAGGAGATCTACCTGCTCTGTGGATTTTACAACCCCTGCTTGTGCATGTACCTCCCAGCTGTGATAAGACGATAACTTTGTTCCTTAGGAATGTGATGACCCCCTGGACAGATAGTCTCTCTGGTGTGGCCACTCCTAGTCTGTAACACCAGAGGGTCAACATTCCTAATCCCCACCCCTATAACCCACTGGCCTATGTAACTGCTTCAAGATTCTGTGCCTCCTTAAGATGGTTCTTTTGGACATTAGTCAGCCATCTTCCCCCTTGCTAACAAGCTGTAATAAAATGCCGTTTCTCTGCCACCGTCTTGCCTCTTGACGATTGGCTTTTGTCTCCCGGTGAGCAGATCATGCCCTTTGTGCGGTAATGTGACAATGTTCCCCTCCTCTGCAGGATGCTAGTGTGTTATGTGGAAGGCAGAAGAGTGACTTGCAGGTTTTACTTCCCCATTGTAAATTTTCTCCTGTAGAAAATATTTAAAATTAAGATAGGAAATTTATGAACCTAAAAAATCTTCTTGGTCAGGTTTTAATACCCCCTAATTATCTGCCTTTGATTAAATTATCTTTTGCAGCTACATTGATAAGCTATACTTTAATATATGAACTCCATGACAACATGGCACACAGATTTTCTAGATTAACTTTATGCACTACCTGCACATCATGTAACCCATAGTAAGCACCATGTGTTTACAATCATTCTTTTAATTTATTGCTGGCTTCTCAAAGAAATGCTAAGGAAATAAGCAGAGTGGGGTGTAGAGAACCAAAGAAAAAGGACGAAGTTGACCTTAGGCTGATGTTAAGTCCAGGATTGAAGCAGTAAATTCATTTTACTGGTGAAATGGAGGAAAATCTGAGGTCACACCCTGGAGAAAGGCAGTGGAACATTCAGATACTGAATGTATCCGAATTTAGACACAGAATGTCCAGAATCGGAACCACTTTTTCATAATCAGGATCAGAAGAAGGAGAGATGGAGAAACAGAACACACACATGAATATGATCGACTGAAATGGTACAATTCCTGGAAAACAACAAGCTTGTGCATTTTTCCTTAGAAACTGTAGGTGTGGGTCTAGTTTTTTTGGCTACAGGAGTTTGAGCCTGGCATCATGTCCAACCAGCTTTGAACTCTGATTGTGCCACCTCTTAGCTGTGTCACCAAGGACAAATTACTTAACCGCTCTGAGTGTCAGTTGTCTCATCCATAAAATAGAGATAATAATGGAACTAAGTTATGAGTGACCATAGTCATGATTTATGGAATCAGTGTAAGGAGTAAATGAGAATAAATGGCCCAATGCCTGACACAGAGTAAATTTGCAGTAAATATTGCCTCTGAATACCATTTCGATATTCTATACATTATTTATGAAAATTAAAAAGGATCAATTATAATTATCTTTCATAACTTATTAGTTAGTTCACAGCTTACTGGAGGCCAGCGGTCAGGGGAGTGAATGTGTGAGCGCGTGAGAGCCCAGGCTTAAGTCTAGCTCACATCCACGGCAGGAAGGAGCCATCAGCAAATCCAGAGGTTAGGCAGTTCTTTAGCAAATCCTCTAGGGTATTCGTTTAAACAAAGCCCTTTGTTGTATCACAGATTTTAGGATAAAAATGTGTGATGAGTGTGAAGGGCAGTTGGCTCTGGTAAGAACCTTAGGATACCTGATGTTTAAGGGACCAGCTGAGAAAGAGGAACCCAGAAAAGAAGAGAAGGGTGGGGAAAAAGTTGGGGAAAGGAGGATTCTAGAAACAAAAGACAAGTGTTTCAAGGAGAAGAGGGTGATTCATACAGTTTGAAACAAAGCAGATGGGCTCAAGTCCGATAAAGACACACAAATATCCATGGGCATTGGCTATTTGGAGGTCGTGGGTGATCTCTGCAGGGGATCAGGAGAGGGGGGCAGAAGGCAAATGATCACTGCTGGGGAGTGACTAGAAGATGAACTACAGCCGGCATGTTAGCTGTTTTTTAAAGAAGCTTGACGGAGAAAGGAAAGACAGGGAGAGGATGGCAATCCTTTGGTTACAGGACCTGAAGTTTTATATTAGGCTAGGGAAATATTTGCATACTTAAGGACTGAAAGAGAAAAGCCAACATCAAAAGGAAAGTTGGAATGTCCAAGAGAGGGGAGACAACTCTTGGAAGGAGCTTCTAGAGGGAATCCCAGTGACCAAGATACAGGTGGATGGATAGGTCCTGAATGGAAGGTGAAAAGAACTCATCTTTCCTGTAGAACAAAAGAAGGTAGGGACAGATGCAGGTGTAGAAACTGTGTAGATGGGGGATGGGGAGGACGTTGAGTAGGGGACTTGAAGATGATGATCATTTGAATCATCTTGGAATAAGATGTAGTTCTGAGGGCCCAGCTAAGACTGGAGAGCAGGAATTAGCCATGGCACCCACCAGTTGGCTAAGATGTGCAATTCTCTCCATGTTATCAGCAGCCCAGGGGTAGGCATAAAGAAGGTTAGGTGGATTGAAGATTTTCCGACAGGCTAACATACCTTGGGTCCCTGTGGTCCAGGCAGGCCTTCAGGACCTGGGAATCCCTTCTGGCCAGGAGAGCCAGGGGGTCCAGGAAAACCTTTCTCCCCCTGTTAAAACCAAAACAAGACAAGAAACACACAGAATAGCAACTACCCAACAACAAACACAGCCATACCATTGTTTTCTTTTCTTTATGACTTAATAACATTTTACATTTTTTTTTCTTGGATTAAAAATAATTAGCACTCAGCAGTGAGTGTATCAGTAACTGGAAAGCTGCCAGCTATTAGCATTTGTCTATGGACTTGGAAGTGCTGGTCCTCGGTCTGTAGAAACTTTACTTTTCCCCAAATGGTAGAGCTACAGAGAGCAGAGATTAAGGGGAGGAATCGAGAATTGAGGGAACACCCAGTTAGAAAGATCAAGGTTAGTGGAGTGTGTTTCTTGGGAGATGGAGAGAGAGTAAGGATAAGGCAGAAGAATGTGTCTGGGAGTGTGCTTAATTGCTATGCAGCTTGAAAAGAACAACATGCAGACTATGAGTTTTAGTCCTGTCTTGATTACACGGGAATTAGTAATTCAATCTGCTATTTGTGTAGGAGATGCAGGGGAGATATCAAGAGTGGCATAACCAAAAGTATGAGCTAAAAATTTCTTTAGAAAGAGTCAAATGATAGTATGGGAAAGCCCCTAGAAATGAGTGAGTGAAAGTAATTTGGGCCCAATGATTGACATGGTTCTGCCAACAAATAATCTTCCACGGACATGGATCCCGGAATTACTCTTTAACAGTAAAGGTAAATTGGTTCAGTCAATTTAGTTACACAATTGGCAAATTAAATTAAAAGAAAAGAGAGATCAAGTAAGCAATTTCACATTGTGTGTGTGCACATACACATCCAATAGAAAGAGAAATAAAAGAATTTGCTAGACTCCTGTCAATACTGGGTACCTTCGCATATTCTAGAGTAGCATCTTGCACATAGTAGGGATTCAATAAATACTTCTTGAATGCGAGAATGAATCATAGCTTTCCTACGTGGATCTGAAAGTACTATATTCATAGCATCAAGAAAATCCCTAAATTAAACTACACTTGAATTATAGAATAATTTAAAATAAATATAATAATAATTATTATAATTAGCATATAAGTTATATGTAAATTATTTTAGCCAAAGAGCTTAAAATATGTTCTTTTAAAAATATTTTTAAGCAGTCACCTTTCAGTATTGTTAAGCAATTCATTAACGTATCTGAGAAAAGTGTTGCGTAAACAAAGGAAAAACTTTAGTTCTGCTTCTGTCTTAATTATCACAAATTGCAAGTTAATGGAGCGAATTAATGAGATTTCACGGCGTTCCTTTTTTTCCTTGAATTCTGCAATGGAGCTACTTCCCTCCGAGGAATTTTTGCCTC